TGGAAAAAAGGCATGGTACCAAAATGCAACACCATAAATGTTTTCACAGACGGTTCAAAGGTGGAATTGGGAGTAGGAGCTGGCATCTATTGTGCGGAATTGAGCATAGGAATGCTGTTTAAACTTCCCAACTATTACAGTGTGTTTAAAGCAGAATTGTTTGCAGTTAAGAAAGCGGCGGAGCTTGTATGTATGGATGAAACGAGAAACTGCTGCATAAATTTTTATGTGGATAGCCAAGCAACCATTATCATCTAAAAATGTTCATCATCATCATCTAAAAATGTTGTAGAATGTAAGGAAGCTATAGGCATACTAGCCTGCAACCGCAGACTTTGTATGTACTGGATTCCTGGTCATGAAGGCATAGAGGGGAATGAGACAGTTGATGTTATTGCTAAAAACGACGCAAAACTTTCAGAGGAACAAACGAGCGAAGAACTCAGACCTCTGAAACAAATACATAAACTTATGGACGAGCACATGAAAAGGTAAGGAGGCGGAACTTAACCACCTGTAGAATAGCTAGAGTTATGTGTAGTTACATATACGAAGAAAAGTACACCAAGGATCTTATATCGTCTAACCGAAGGAACTGCAGAACATTAATGTCAATATTTAGTTCTACTACTTAATCCAGGTAAAAATCAGATTGCCCCTCGGCATACTGACCTCTGTGCGTGCTGGACGCAATTGGTAAAGTTTTTGAACGAATTATCGCGAATGGGCTACAAATAACATTAGAATTCTGTAATGCCTTATGAACAAAGCAAATTGGATTCAGAAGTGGTAAATCCACAATAGACGCAATTCGAATGGTGACAGAGATAGCACGTGAAGCTACTAGTGGCAACAGGCGAAGATTTGGCGATAAAACACTGACCTACAGCAAGCTACTGACGCTTGATGCAAACAATGGCTTCAATACAGCTGGCTGATCAAAAATGGATTCATTACGCGATCTTGAGATCCCAGGTTACTTACGCATGATCGTAGTAAATTACTTTGATAACAAAGTTATTTTCTATGATACAAATGAGGTAGTAAAGCAGTATACCGTATCCAATGGTGTACCACAAGGATCAGTGTTGGGACCGACACTGTGGAACAGTGCTAAGACTTGAACACAAAATAACTAACATGAACAGAAATGCTTTTATTTAAAATGTGATTGTACAAGAAAATAAGTAATACATCAGTCAATAAGTCGTACGACTGAGACACAGATGGCGCTGCCATTGTCAAATCTATATGACGTTCATGAAGTACCAACCTTCAAAAGACTATGTGTAAAATTTCATGACATTTCGATTAGTCAGGAAAAAGTGACAGCCATTTAAGTGAAGCTACTTTTGCTATTTTCAAAACAATGGATTCAAAACAATGGATTCAAAACAATTTCGTGTGTTCATTTATCATTGCCTCTTGATGAAAAAAAATAATGCTTCATCGAAAAAACCATTTGTTATAGGTTTGCTGAATTTTAACGTGGTCGTACTGACACCGATGATTCTGGCCGTGCAATTGAGGTGGTTACTCCAGAAAACATCAAAAAAGTCCAGAAATTGGTTATATCTGATCGTTAATTGAAATTGTGTGAGATAGCTGAGACCCTAAAGATATCAGAAGGCAGTGTGTTTACAATTATGCATGTACATTTGACTATGAGAAAGCTCTTTCCATTTTTAAAACAGGCGGGCACATAGAACGTTTTGTAGTAAATGTTACCTGAATAGATTTTGACTCATTTGGTTTGATACGCCAACTTTTCATTCAGAGAGAAACATTGTTACGGCAGGTTTGTAATTTGATGAAAGCACGAACTGGGTCACTGTCAACTGATAAAATAGCTGTAGCGTCTGCAAATGTACCGATAACACTCTCATCGGTAAGGGGAAGATCCGCAGTATATAAAAGATAAAGCATTGGTCCCATTATGCTACCTTGAGGTACTTCTGTTCCTATATCATGAAGTACTGTAGTTTCGTTTCCATGCTTAATGAAAAAGTGCTTTGCCGAGAGGTATGATTTAATAAATATGAAAAAAATTTAGGGGTAGATTCAGTTTTAGTTTGAAAAGAAGGCCCTCATGCCATACTCGATCAAAAGCTTGTGAAATATCTATAAATGCCGCAGCGCAATATTTCTTACCATCTATCACACTATGAATATGTCTGACAAGTCTATGAATTTGTTCTATTGTGCTATGTTGTGCTATGAATGAGTCTGTTTTGTTGAATAAGCGATGTAAGGCGGTTTAGAAACAGAATTTCCATAACTTTCGACAGGATCGGAAGTAAACTTATTGGGACTTATTAGATGTCGATATGATTTGACATCTTCTACGCTTTTCCCTGATTTCGGTATCATAGAAATTTGCGCTATCTTCCACTGTAGCAGAATAAACACCCTTATTATTTATTTTTGTTTTAATTACAATGTTAAGTAGATGAGGCCATGCCTGTGATCAAATCGTACCCTGGAACTTTTTTTTTTCTTTTAACTTTGCTATTACATCCCTAACTTCATTAATGGAATATCTTTTAATTAGAAGTTCTAATTGGTAAGGCTCTTGTAGAAAATTTATCCTTTGTTTCATGATATCTGGTATATTTAGATTATCATTTGGTTTAAAGACCTGGTCCAAATATAACGCGAATATTTCTGCTTTTTCAATATCGCTTTTAGCCCATGAGTTTTCTATTTTGCGTATATGTGGTTGATAAGCAATCGGGCTGTTATATTTGTCCAGAGAATACTCTTTCCAGACGGAGTATTTTGTATCACATGAAGCATTTAGGTTTTGGAGGTATAGGGACGTGCGATTATTGTTGTACTTTATAAGAAGGACTTTAACGAGTTTACGTAATTTGTAAAATGCGAGTTTTATCCGCAGGGAATCTCGTCTTTTGCCAATGTCTTCTTATCTCATGGATATTCTTGCTTAATACTTTTTGAAGACGGAGGAATTGATTCCCAGGCACACATTTGGACACATGAGTTAAAATGCGTTACTGCTTTAGTCACATCAAATTCAGTTTTCAACTGGACTTCGGTATTTAGTCCAATTGTAATTAGTTGACGATAATTGTTCCAATCAGTATTTTTGTTATGAAGAATACATTTTTCCATAATTTCACAAGTCATTGAGAGTGATTACTGGCTAATAGTCAGATGACAAATCGAAATCGGACTTATAGGTAGTTGTCTCGATACATGTTCGTATAATAGATCTATTAGAGGCTTGATGTAATGTACCTTATCAATAAATATTGGTGGACGTTTCAGTACTTTTGATGGAGTATCATTAATTTTTTAACGATTGTTCATTTATTTCATTGTCATCTACATGTAGGTCTGCGTATCGGTTTGTTTTGACAGGTCCATTTAGTCAGTATGAATGTAGCTTGGTTTGTTTTTGGCTTGTTTGGTTTTTACTTGGACTATCGCGTTGACGTCCGCAAAAGATCCAGTTGACGTCTTCTAAAAATGCGCCAAGCAGCGACATCCGTTTGTTCCACGCTATACAAATAGAGTCATCTAGCTAACTTCACTTATTGACATCTTCAATCGTAGCAACTCACTTGTATGTAATCTATATTCACTTAAAACATCTTCAGTGACTGAGACCTAACGAAGCTGACTAGCATTATCCCTTGAGGGAACGTTGCGATCGTAGCAGATTCTTATTATTACTGAAACCGCATAAACGTGTCGAATTGCTGAAGCTGCTGTAAAAAAAAAGCCACTTTTCCGGTTTCCCAGTAAATATTGACAATTTTAAATAACTCCATTGATCACATGCGTCGCATGCTCCATTTTTTCATTTTCCATCTTTTTGCATACGCCGCATTGTGCTGTCCCCTTCTGGCTACCGGATGACATGTTTTTTACCTTGTAATGGTTGCTAATTGGTAATATTTTCTCCGATTACTTTTAAAGCAAATCGCCTTCACTACTAAGCTTTTTTAAATTGATAATGCAGAGGTACCACAAACGAACTATCAACGTCACTCTTATTTGTCCTGTTTTGTTTTTTAACTTTTGCTTTTTTTATTGATCCTGTTATTTTTATTAATTTTTTTCCTTTCCTTTTCATCATTGATTTAGTTTGTTTTTGTTGCTGTATTATTCACTTTATTGAAACTTTTTTAATATTAACTTATGTTTTATTATTCAAATTATTAATGTTAATCAGTAAATATAATTTTTATGTTTTTACGTAAGTTATTGTTATGCTATTCACTAACTATTTAAATTATTTTTTTTTCCTATTTAATTTCTTACCTTATTTTTTTAAATTAGCTTTAAGGTACTGGGTTGTCTCTTAATGCATTTACAATAAGGAGCAGGTCGGGCGAAAAATGAAAATACTTTGATTTCAACCCGTCAGCTCGTGATGACTGCAAAATTGCCATTACACATAAGACTTGGCACAAATTTCACATTCAACGCACCAAGTATGATATGTAAAGCCCGCTTAAAGAATTAAAAGGTGTACTAACAACTACTTCATATATAATACTGTTAAATAACTGAACTTTACCTATTTCAATTTAAACATTTCATTAATTTAGTAGCCGAGTAATTACTATTGAGTTTATCTAAGTATTCATTTACTTTCGAAAGACAATGAATACTTGTGTTTTATTAAACAAAAATACTAAACAAATAATTCTTAAATTTAGATTATGTAAATATTTTATTTTGAAGTTAACAAATGTCTAAAAACATTTGTCGTCGAGTCCAGTATTTGAGTCATTTTGGATAAAAAGTATAACTAGACGTTTAAGTGAGTTCTACAAATTCGAAATATTAATTGTTGCATACAGACATAAACTCAGACAAATTATATATTATAGACAAAACAATGCATAGATGATAAAACTTTTTAGTCCAAATACATAATGAGCGATGCTTAGATTTAAAACTGCATACATTCGCAGTACTGTTAACGCAAAACTTCCTTGAAGTATCTACATAATATAATTTTTACTTACCGAGGCGATTGATAGCAGCTTTTCCTTTGTAAAATGCATCCGAACATTTGTTAATAAGCGTTATCAATTTTTCTTGAGTTTCTGATGGTATGTGTTTTAACTCATCCTCTGATAAAGAATTTTTTAAAATCTGTGGACCGACGAGATCCATTTTGTATATTCGTGTACATTAAAAGACAAAACTTAGTATGTCACCACCGACTACAAGCACAACAAATTATTGCAAAAGAATGATAGCCCGCGAAATCATCAGAGATGCCATATTTTGTACACTCAAAAATTTTTTCATAATTCAACATTAACCAAAGATTATTTTTGAAAAAGAATACTTTGTTCCTTCAAAGTTATAAAAGTAAAGTTATAACTCTCAGTTTCTTTTCTTTATCTTTTTTGTTCTAGGTATGAATACAGCATCGATGGTTTTCCTATGATATGTAATAGACAAAATTGCATTTACTTGATACAGTAGTTGCATCGATCGTTGCTTCGTATTGATGCAATATCGGTAAATTATCGATTCTTTCGCTTGCTGTGTCGTCACATCAATTTTAATTTTTGACAGTTTTGGTGTGGGGAATATGTGTAGGAAAATTTTTTTTTCGCTATTGCACTGTAAGGATGGAAATTTTTACCAATTTCCAACCTACTTTCCAACCAACCTAATTAGTGTGCAGTTAAAACCTGAAATAAAAATGTGTTAATTTTTATATAATATATTAAAGGTAAATAACTTACTAAAAGCCACCCCCGCATGCACGCAACAGCATCACAATGAATTAAACCTAAGATTACATTGAAAAATTAAAAGAATGCAAAATATATTCAAATAAATAAATATTGTACCTACCTTATTTATTTATTATTTAAACTAATACTTTTTAATATTTTTAATATTTATTTTATTTTAATAAATAAATATAAATATTTGAAGTCGCTACTACCGACACTAAGCTAAACACGTTTCAAAACAAAACAAATACACAACACAAGAAACGTCAAAAAAACTTTTGTGCAAAGAGCTTTGTGTAAAAATTGATGCGCGCGCATATTAACTACGGCGAAAGCGCAAAACAGCAACGACGTCAAAAATCCAAGCTATCTGTAAACTAAGCTTTGCGCTACGTTAAAGTTTAGTCTGATGCGTATATAAGAAGACGCATTTACTTAGAAGAGGCAGTTAGTGATCGACGCTTGAAGTCATCGGAGTTCGTGATAGACTCGCCAAGTGAAGCATTGGGAAACATTACCGGAGCTAAGTATAAAGAAGCACCTTTATATTATTTTTTTGTTTTTTTTATATATATCTTTTATCCCTTCCCCAGCAAATATATAAGCGTGAACACGTTTATAATTTGCTACCAAATCCTTGCATAAGCGTGAACACGTTTATAATCCTTGAATAGCGTGAACACGTTAAATCCTTTCTCCAGCAAAATAATAAGCGTGAACACGTTTATAATTTGCTACCAAATCCGTGGATAAGCGTGCACACGTTTATCCTTTGTCACTAAAACTTATATAGGCGTGTACACGTCTATATATTAACATTGATAACCCTTTACAACAGGTATAGAAGAAAGGAAATCAGCTGAAATTCACAAAACCATCAAAGAACAATACGCTGACATCGAAGAAAGGAAATTACTATAACATCAACATCAATAGCAACATCAATATCAATATCAATATTAAAGTCAATATCCTGTAATAGGATAGAAACATAGGATAATTAAGACGATTATTAGTTTTAAAATAAATACTTTAATAAAGAAAAGAAAATTAAAACAAAATTTGAAACACGGCCTTCTAACATTTATAAATTTTATTGTAACGACCCAGGACCAACCCTTGAGTATTACCTCGGCAATCAGAGCGACGGAAAATTGTCGTTACAGCACAAAGATTATTCAAAGAGCTTTCTTTTAAACACGTTTATTAAAACATGTTCAATGTATGAACAAAATTACCGAAAACATGTAATATGTAAGTTGTCTAACTACCTGCAGAATAATTTCTGGTTGCTTAAGAATAACTTCATATCACTGCCTAAATCAATAAACATATGATAAGTAAAAAAATTTTAAACAAATTGACAAATACGTGTAAATACAAAAATACCTGCAGATAATTTTATAAAAAAAATTTTTCATATAAATATATATATATAAAATGAATGACACAAAAGAGTTATTGGTGAGCATTTTATATTGTACTTGAATTTATATATAATAAAAGTACACATTTTATTTAGGCTTTATCCATGATAACGGAGAAAAATAATGAAATAAGGAGGATACAAGGAGAGCGGTGCATTGACTAAATATATAAAATGTTACCAGAAAAACTTCAGAAAAAAAAGTTTCTTAAACGACAAGCGATCTATTGCGAACTTTCATTGAAAATTCCAATTATCTGTCAGAAGTTTGTAAACAAAAATTCAAACTAAATTAAAGTTTCACAAATTTGAAATCATGAAAATGAATTATTTTAAAAATATATGAAATTGTGAAAAATATATATTTCAAAAATATATACATAAATATATCAAAAACTTATAGGAATACATGAAAATAGTATATTTGAAAAGCACTTTAAATTTTTTTAACTTATAAGTTACTAAGTTAATACTTACAAAGGGATAAATATGCTAAACTGTTATTCATTTTGTTGTAAAAAGAAATTTCAAAATTTCTTGCATTCTGAACATGACTTTTAATTCGTTATTTATTTCAACTTTCAATTTTATATAAATAATATACATTTTTATGTAAAATGTCGTTTGCTTGCATTATGCGCACTTATGGAAATTTTGTTCATAACATTTGACAGATAGCAACAGTAAGATCAACATCTCACTAAGCGACTATAATAAGCAACTTGTTGCTTTTTTCCCACACTTCGGAGCTGCCGAATGCATCTAATCATCAACGTTCAGGTCAGTATGTTTAGGCGAGTAATAAAAATTTTGTTTTTATTTAAACAAATTTAAGAAATTATTTAAAATAAATTTGTCTGATATATGGCTCTAAAATATTAACAAAATTAATTAAATTGTGGCGGTTGCATATTCACATTAATGTTTAAAATGATATGGGTTGGCCATGCAAACACGGACAAGTAAATTATTGAAAATAAGATGAGTTGGCCATAAAAGAAAATTTTTAAAAACTAATGATATTTTTTATTGATTAAAAATAAAGTTGTCATTCTTTTTACGGTTTGGGAAAACTAAGAATAAAACAACAGACACGTGTAATTTCAACACACAAAATTTAGTAATTATTTCTTGCTTTAATAAATAAATAAAGAATTAAATTAAGTAGGATAAACCTACAAAATCAATTAAAATATTAAATAAAATTTTATAGCGTACTTATATTGTTCATAAATAAATTTTTGATTTGCTTTCAAGCTTTCAAAATTGCATTGGATTTTTTATTGCTCTGTCTCGTTCGTGCACAGTTTTTAACGGCTTAATAATATTGGATTATCTTCGAAATTCGAACTCTTTTCGGCAATAATATGTGTGTGACTTGTGAACATTCAACTGCCAGGTGTAACCTCTAGTAAGCGAAAACTTTTTTGTTCATCAATGATATCATCATTGAAGCTTTTTCACTGATTGTGATTGTGATCTACTTATGAGATCGTGCTTTTATATTAACAATATATAATTTGTTTAGTAAAGCGAAAGCTATTAATTCGTGCTGTTGCGTCGGGTTTGCGCTAAGTTCTATAAACGAGAAAGTTATTGATATAAATGTATGTGAACATCTTTAATATATAAATTAATTGTATTATTAAAAATTTTACAATACTAAACCAATACATAATAATTCGCAACATTAATATTCATAACGTTTTTCAATTGTGTTATATATATCTTTGCTCCTTCACAAAACATAAATATAAACAACTTTTTACTGAACGAATATTATTATTTTAACACAAAAAAAAATGATCAAAACAATTTTTGCATTTTATGAGAATAGAAGACACTGTCTGTCAATAAACTATTTATAGGTTGAATTGTTTTGTATGTATTAGTACTTTAATAATACAGGACCACAGTACAGTATATAATACATTAGTGGGATAAATTAAATACGTTTTTTTTGAACAAACTGCATTTATATTGCAAAATATTTTCATAGAATAACCAATATTTGTGATTGAATTTAACTGAAGTGATGACTTAGAGAAAATATGAGTTAAATTTAAATCCTTTTAATGCCTTTACAAAGTTGAACATAAATTTGGAAAACATTTTAATTACTGTAGGCAAGTATTTACCTATTTAATATGCACCTGTTTAAAGAACAAACCACTACAATGTTAATAAATATATCGCCTACATATCTTCTAAATTTGTTTGTTAATATACAGTCAGTTCACCTCCATATTACTGTATTTGGGCATTTTTATTAAATTTTGATTTGTAAACATACATATATTATACAATAATGTGCCTCTGTAAAAAAGTGTATTCTGTTCCCTTGTTATTTGAATATCTCTCTTGTTTGCGTTCCGAATAAATGAGATCATATCATTAATATGTACATTTATAATTTTCGCAGTTTATAGAAATCCAGTTTTGAGTATTTTAAATGGCGCACATTGTGTGTAGACATGCCAATTTCAACCTCAGACAAACTGCTGAATGTATTAAACATAAAATAATATGATGTGATATGAAGTAACTACACAATAATAAATATGTAATATTTTTAGATAATGTTTTTTAATTTCCATTTTTTTTTTGTTTTTTTTCAAGATGCTAATCAAAGGCTAATAATTAGCGATACCAGTCATCCAGTTTCAGTTTCAAACTATAGACTTTTTAATTAAATGATTCCAAAGCAGTACTTTTTCCAATTTGTCATGTTGCTTCTATCGTTGTTTTGTAATTGTTTTGGTTATGCTATTTCTTTACTCATTCCAAAGGTTTTTGTTTGGTGTCAATATGTTTACCATTCAATTAATAGATAAATTTAACTTTATAACATTGAGAATGGTAATACAACAAAAGTGAAAGCTTTTTTCATTCAGGCAGCATCAGAATGCGAATATTGAAAAACATTCGTTTTCTAATGTTAGAAACAATACAGACGACGATTTCTGAAAACCGAAGCTCTCTATCTAATAACATCCGAAAAAGTGGCACGCAAAACAAATTTTGTCTCGTTTAAGCGGTCTTGATTTTTGTTTAATTATTCATACAATATATTTGCAAAAATATATATGTACATACATATATATAATATTTAAAGCTGATGTGCATATATTGGGAACAGTTTTAAATTTTTTGCCATGGCTTTTATTTTTTTTTTCATTCATACAATGTATGGTATGTAAGTTTTGTGCAATACTTCACAACAATAAGAATCAGCTGGTGTTTTACCAAATACCGGGAAAATTGTCATAGCTAATGCTTTGGCTACTCTACTGCAGTACCTAGCAGGTCTTAAACCGCTATTACATATGTTTAAAATCTGATTTTATATAAAAAATACAATGAATTAACAATTAACAAAGTTTGGGCACAGAAACATTTTTAACAATCGTTTAGTTTATGTTGCGAAAGTGGCGGAGCTAGAATAACTCTGGGATCAGATCAGATCATCAGATTTGGGGGCCCCCTTTATTACTGAGTTATAAAAGTAAATAATTTACATTCACAAATACGATGAAGCATATATAAAAATTTTATTGCTAATCAAATTTAAATAAATGAATTTTCCTGCTTTCTGTCAATGCAGATAATCTCTCTTGGCTCATCTTACTTCTTACGCAGGTCTTAATCAATTTTACTGTTGAAAAGCTTCTTTCAGCAAAATTTGTACTCACTAGAACTGTGAGCATGATTCTGGTTATTATAGGTATAGACATTCAGATATACTTCGTCTAAATTATTTTCCTTAATATATCGGTTTACAGTTTAAAAGGCTGTCGCTGTTTTCACCTTCCCGAAGTATTATACCTAAACCATTAAATTTTCATATAATTAATGTCATAAATGAAACCAAATTGTTCAAAATATCCATTAAGTGCTTAGAAGCAACAGTCGGTAGCAATTATGACGCCTAGCGCCGCTACTGTATGGAGAGGACGTGTGCTTATACAACTGTCAGCACTTTCGTTAACAATGATAAATTAGCAGATCTTCCAGATAAAGCTGAGTAGATCAGGCTAGTTTACTTTCATTATGTCTGTCACGTCGCTGAAAAAGTGTTTCCAAGTCATAGAAAATCAGTGGACTCCGTTTCATCTTCACTCCTGCACAGTTAACTTGTTGTAGTACCCGTTAGTATTCCAGTAAGTACACACACTGTAAGTTTGCTGAAGCTCAAAAAGATTTTCGTTTCATTCCTATCTAATCTAGGCCATAAGATTTTGCAACCTCATAGTCTTTACGATTATTCTACAAGGCATTTGATGAATTCTTCTGTGGGCCTAAAAAGTTCACACATCAGGATTTGTGTCGATAAGTCGACCTCATTATATGCATTTCAGAACCTTTTCTGGCTAACTTAACTGCTATCTCGTACCCTTCAGTATTTCAATACTCAAAAACACAGCAGTGGGAGTCTAATGGTGTTTATTAGTGAGTTGCATTTTTTTCTAATGCCAGTGATTTTTTCTTCTATGTATTTGAACTTACACTACCTGGGGTTGTTATTTTAGAGTTACACCTATTTCATTGCTTAAATGTACCCGAATGGACTTCATACTTAGAACTCTAAATTCCATATTACACTATTACCATAAGTCACAAATGGTCTTATCAAGTAACGTAGATGCATAAGTCTTTTAAAGAATGCTAGCAATATTAAGTTTAATAGCTTGAGCATATGTAAATTGAAACATTTTGATCGAACAAAAAGATGTTCTACCTGTTCGAAGAGCAAATCTCCTTTATGTTTTCATACTGTTTTATATAGTGGTTTGGTATGGAAACTTTCCCTGTAAATAAGAAATAAATGGTTTGGAAAGTTAAAGTGGAATATATCAATATATAAATGGAATCAAATATTTGTGCAACAGTAGGTTAGGTTAGGTTATACCGGGGATCCCGAGGGGATTCACTTAGGTCTATAGGCCCATTGTGCCACCGTATTATTAAATTGTGCAACAGTAACCTTGTTTGGAAATTTTAATTTTGATAATTTATTGTATACGATTTTTTATATACCGATTTTTTAGTAGTTCTTTATAATTTTGACATTACCGCAGGGTAATGTGAAAAAAAAATACCCGAAAGTGTACAAAACACTGCAAATAAAACAAACATTTACGTGAAATTATTCAGTCTGCGTTTAATCGGCAAAGTGCTAAGGACGTGTCGCAAGTTGTTAGAAGTGATTTTTCATTATTTTTATTATTGTCATTTTGTAATATATAATTTTTAATTTATTTAATTGCTTTATGTAAAATTATATATAACTTTAATAAATAATTATTTCAAATGTAATATTCAGTAAATAATATTTATTAATTAAAACATAGAAATTAAAGATGATTTTTATTTATAATATTTTATTTATTTATTTAATTATGTAAAATAATTTAGGTAAAACCAAAAATTTTAATTATACTAAAAAGTACAGAAAACATATTTTCCATTTGTAACTAAAATAACATACTCGTAATAAAATTCATAAATTTTAAATACACACTAACTATTATATACAATAATTGACTACAATTATTTAATTTGAATCGTAAATAATTTTGCTTAAGCGACCCCTACGCAGTTCGACATTACCTGAAATCAAATAATTATTCTTGAAAGTCTATAAGCCAAAGGACTTCGTAAAAATTTGTTCGGCTAAACGCTATACTATCTGTATAAAAACCGATAGGAGAGGTCTTTTGAGTAGGCCTGCATTGCCAATTAATCGCATATTAGTTCGATTTTTATGTGGTGACTATTCTTAGTACTTTGTGAGTGTTTAATTTCAGATCTGATCAGGAAAGGTTATAGTTGTATCAATTGAGTAATGGGACTTACATCCGTCCTCTTTTAATTGAAAACAACAAATCTTGAAGACATGGCTTCTCCAATATTCTGATTTTATCTAGTTAGAAAGCGCCCAACGTTAACACAACAATCATTTAGAAGATTCCAATACTTCTCTCAACTCTCTTTCAACTCACATATAATCGTAACGATTGCTACATCAACTACTTTTTCACTTATATTTTGATTCATCTTTTTTGGTTTTGCTATAAGATTGAATTCTTTAATTTCGAAACAATCTATCATCACATTTATCTATTGCATTTGACAATGAGTAAACTCATCCCCATGTGAGACGGTTACACTGGAAATTAGCGCTTTTGTACATCATTTATCTGTTCAATCCAAATTCATGCTCTAGTCAAGGATTTAACAACAGATGTATGGTCTTATGGCAACGGTGTAATAATATAAATTGAGTTTTCCTATTCACTATTTGCATTTCCATTTCCGAATTCACGAGTCTCCAAACGATAACATATTCTGAAGTTTCTAAAAATGATTGTAATTCTACAATTGTGATTCAACATTTGATGGTGGTATAAAACTATTATATATATAGATATATATATACATTTATAAAATTTTACCAATTCGTTTTGTAATGGATGTGTTCTCTAACACACAATATACTCCAACGTATACCAAGCTTCTTTCTTGCTAACGCGAAACTTAATGGGTAAAATAATTCCGAAAAAAATATTAGGTTAGGTTATATCCGCGATCCCAAGGGGACCCTCTT